GTGTTGGTGTGTGTGCAGAGGGGGGGCGGGGGGAGTGGCTGGGAATCCCAGCCACTCCTCCTGACCCTGCCAGGCTTCAGTCCGGTGCCCAGCACATGTCCAGTATTTTCTGAATTTTTTTACCAAACAGAGGGTGCAAAATTGGACTGTCTGGTAGAATACCAGACACCTGGCAACCCTACGGGAGACGGGGGCCAACAGAGCTGGGAGGTGGAGCAGGGGATGAGGGGCTGGAAGACTGGGGTTTGCCAGAGCCAGTGGTGCCCACAGCCAGTGGTGGCCCCAGGCATATGCAGCATAGGGCACAACCGAATTTAGAGCACCACTGGTTCTCCAAATTTAGTGGTGCTCTACACCAGTGTTTCTCAAACTGTGCTCCGCGGAGCCCCAGGGCTCCGCAAGACACCTCCAGGGGCTCCGCGAGGTTGACAAACAGGAACAATGCATACAATCAGTGGACCACTGGGGCTCCGCATAAATGTTTACGCATGTAAAGGGCTCTGGAGCTCCAAAAGTTTGAGAACTGCTGCTCTACACTGTTGTATATACCTAAGAACAGCCCTAATGTAATGGCAAAAAGCTAAATAATAACAAGTTTTTAAACTGCTTATTTATAAACACTAGAAGTCTAAATAATAAGATGGGTGATCTAGAGTGCCTCATATTGAATGAGGATATTAATAGGCAACACAGAATCTTGGTGAAATGCGGACAATCAATAGGACACTGCAATACCAGGTACAAAATATATCCGAAGGAAAGAACAGGCCATGCTGGTGGGGGAGTGGCACAAACATAAAATCAAATGGAGTAAAAATCTTAAATGAGCCAAACTTCCACAGACTGTGTATGGATAGTAAATCCATGCTCTAATAATACGAATATAGCAGTAGGGATATATTACTGACCACCTGTAGGGATATAAGTGACTTGTCGAGTAGTCGACTACCTGATAAGCCTAAGCTCACCCTCCCTACTGCCTCTGTATCAGAAGCAGCAAGTGTGGGGGAAGCAGGAGCTGGTGCTGTGCGGAGCCGGCTTCCCCCCCTCACGGTGCATGGGGATAAGCAGGGGAGGCAGAGCCACATTAGTCCTGGTGCCGGCACAATCCGGGACTGCTCAGTCCTGGCTCACGCCGGCCCCAGAAGCTACCCTTGCTGCCCTAGTAAGAGCCTGGAGAAATTTGAAGCACAGCTAGTCAAAAACTCAAAAAGTAATAGCAAATTTTTTAAAGTACATTACAAGCAGGAAGCCAGCTGAACAACCAGTGGGACCACTGGATGTTTGAGATGGTACAGGAGCATTCAAAGACAATAAAGAGGTCATTGCACAGAAACTAAACGAATTCTTTGCATTGATCTTCACAACTGAGGACATGAGGGAGATTCCCAAACCTGAGCCATTCTTCTTGGGTGACAAATCTGAGGAACTGTCTCAGATTGAGGTGTCATTAGAGGAGGGTTTGGAATAAATTGATAAACAGCAACAAGTCACCAAGAGCAGATGGTATTCACCCAAGAGTTCTCAAAGAACTCAAATGTGAAATTGCAGAACTACTAACTGTACAGGTTGGACCTCCCTGGGTCTGGCACAGTCAGGACCTGAGGGGGTCCCAAATCAGGAAGTTTGCCAGACCAGGGGAGGACAATGCTCCCCTGCTGGCTGCCCCACTCCTGGGCTCCTCTCCTTGGAGCTCCTAAAGCTGGAGTTGTTGCCCTCTCACTGCCACCAGAGTTCCCCAGGATTCCAGCTGGGACCGCCTGGCTGCTCACAGAATAACTGCCGCTGGAAGTTCCCCGGGGATCCTTGGCCAAAGTTCCTCTGCTGCCGCCTGGCCGCACTCCACCAGATGTTCATGGGATTCCCTGGCTGGGGCTGCCTGTCCACTGCTGCCCCCCCCCAACAGGGACAATCCTGATCTCGCCAGGGGTTTCCTGGACTCCACCAGCCTGGGGCTGCCTGGACTCCACTTGGCCCTGCTGCCACCGAGGATTCCCTGGCTAGAGCAAGGGCTCCCCATTTGTCACCTGGCCCTTCTGATGCCAGGGTATTTCCTGGCCAGGGTGGGACTTCCCACCCCTGTAAGCCCTGCTGATGCTGGGGATTCCCTAGCCTGGCCAGAGCTCCGCAGCTGCCACCTGCCCCAGCCACTGCTGGCCCAGCTAGGGCTCCTCAGCCCTGCGTGCTCCCACTCCTGGCATCCCGGGCTCATTGGTCCAGCAACATCCAAGGGCCTGCCTCACCAATCTACCAGAGTTGGGGAAGGAGGGGAAAGATAAATAAGCATGTGGACAAGGGATGTTCAGTGGATATAGTGTACTTAGATTTCCAGAAAGCTTTTGAAGAGGTTCTTAAGCAAAATAAACTATCAGCAAGGGAGGTTAAGGTTGGACATTAGGAAAAAGTTCCTAACTGTAAGGGTAGTCAGACACTGGAATAAATTGCCCAGGGAGGTTGTGGAATCTCCATCTCTGGAGATATTTAAGAGTAGGTTGGATAGGTGTCTGTCAGGGATGGTCTAGATGGTATTTGGTCCTGCCATGAGGGTGGGGGACTGGACTCAATGACCTCTTGAGGTCCCTTCCAGTCCTAGTATTCTATGATTCTATGATCATGGGATAAGAGAGAAGGTCCTATCATGGGTTGATAACTGGTTAAAAGACAGGAAACAAAGGGTAGGAATAAATTGTCAGTTTTCAGAATGGAAAGAGGTGACTAATGGTGTCCCCACAAGGTCTGTACTGGGATCAATCCTATTCAGGATATTCATAAATGATTTGGAAAAAGGAGTAAACAGGGAGGTGACAAAATGTGCAGATGATACAAAAGTGCTCAAGATGGTTAAGTCCAAAGAAGGCTGTGAAGAACTTTAAAAGGGTATAACAAAACTAGGTGACTGGGCAACAAAATGGCAGATGAATTTTAACATTGACAAATGCAAAGGAATGCATATTGGAAAACACAATCCCAATTATAACATATAACATGACAGGGACTAAATTAGTTGTTACCACTCAAGAGAGTGATCTCAGAGTGATTGTGGATAGTTCTCTGAAAACATCCACTCAATGTGCTGCAGCAGCCAAAAAAGCAATGTTAAGAATCATTCAGAAAGGGATAGAGAAAAAGAGCATATTTTATTGCCTTTGTTATATAAATCCATGGTACACTTACATCTTGAATACTGAGTGCAGATGTAGTCACCTCACCTCAAAAAGATGTCTTGAAATCGAAAAAAGTTCAGAAATGGGCAAAAATGATTAGGGATATGGAAAGGCTGCCATATGTGGACAGATTAATAATACTGGAACTTTTCAACTTGGAAAAGAGACAACCAAGGGGGCATATGATATAGGTCTATAAAATCACAACTGGTATGAAAAAAATTGAATGAAGTTATTTATTCCTTCCCATAATACAAGAACTAGGGGTCACCAAATGAAATTAATAGGTTGCAAATTTAAAACAAACAGAAGGAAGTACTCCACACAACACGCTGTCAACGTGTGGAACTCCATGCCAGAGGATGTTGTTAAGTCCAAAACTACAACAGGATTCAAAAAAGAGCTAGATAGATTCATGGAGGATAAGGCCATCAATGGCTATTAGCTAGGATGGGCAGGACTGTTATCCTTAGCCTTTTCAGAAGCTGGGAAACAGCGATATGGGTAGATCACTTGATGATTGTTTAGTCTGTTCATTCCCTGTGGGGCACCTGGCATTGGCCACTGTCAGAAGACAGAATACTGAGCTAGACAGACCTTTGGTCTAACACAGTCGGGCCGTTCTTATATTCTTATCTCGATTTGTCCTCCACTATGGTCACTATCACCCAAGTCAGCTGCTATTATGAGATTTTCACCACTTAGGACCAAAATATCAGAAGAATAGAGCTCATGTTCTTTTCTGGGTTTGATTTTGCTCTGAAACTAAAACTTTACAAACAGGTATTTGCATACCCTGATTAGTGTTTTTTGAGGCTAGATTAAAAAAAAGGGAGGAGAGCTAAGAAGGAGCTACCCTAGTTCTTAACCTTTGCAGGACAAACATGATTGAGACTACCATGTGGCTATTTCCCTATCTGCAGGGGTGCGGTGCCAAGATGCTCTGGCCTGGATTGGTGAGTGCCCAAGTAGTGACTTTTTTTTCTTCTTCCATAAAAGGCAATAGGATGTGGATTGTGGGAGCTGGGAACAAAAACCGTTATCAAAAACTAGTTTTTACCTCTCCCCGTAACACTGCACTGCCTCCGAAGCTCTGCAGCTGGCAGTAGCTCAGATAGCGCGGGCTTTGCAGAGCGACTTTCCCAGCCCGCAGCCTCATAGGCGAGCACACACCAGCTACATTACGCCCCCCCCTGCCTATAAGGGACCTCAAGACCGCAACAGTCCCGCCGGCCGTGCGCGTGCGCCCTCCTTTCGCTCGCCCCTGTTCATAAACCAATCACATGACCCGTTCCGCCTCCTGCTCCTTTGTTTGTTTTTCTCCGGAACGCCTGAAGGCGACGGGCGTTCCGGAGAAAAACAAACAAAGGAGGGGCGGGGCGAAGAAGACTAGAACGAGACACCGCGCTGTTCTATGACGTCATTGTGCGCCGGTCCGCTCGCCTTTGAGAATTATGTAGGATACTCCTCAGGAGCTCGCGTTCTACCTATGGAACGCTGGCAATAGATGTATCGCGCGCCCCCAGCCCCGGAGCGCTGCAGACGCGGCGGGCCCTAGGCTGCATTCCCAGGAGTCTGCGCTACGGGCTGCTTGTCCCCGCGGCTGCTTCTGGGCTTCGATCAGCTCTGCTGCTCCGGCTGCCGCGGCAGGTGGTTACCCAAGCGGCTCGCCCTGTGGGCTGCCTGGTTGCAGAAGCAGCAGGAAATTCTGCGACGGTGCAACCTCCTCGTCAGTCTGGGATCTTGGCTGGGGCCGTTGGGCTGGCTTATAATTTGCTTCCATTGGCTGCTGTGCATGGGCCTGTCTGGGTCCTGCAAGCCCTTGTTTTCTTAGTGGTGAGAGGAGGGGAGCATGGCAGCCTCTGCATCAGAAAAAAGCAACAAGAAGAAAACAGAGAAGAAACTTGCCGCCCGAGAAGAAGCTAAGCTGCTGGCGAGCTTTATGGGAGTCATGAATACCATGCGAAAACAGGTAGGGCAAGAGATACAGCTTGAAAGAGCAGAACGTTCTTTGTTCTTTCGCTGTTTGTGATGAAGTCTGCCCTAAAAGAACCAATGTCCAATGTCTAGTAGGAAACTTCACCACCCCTCAGTCTCAGTAAACTGATCTAACCTTAGGTTTCCTAGTAATTGTAGGTATAACATGTCATCGTTAGTCCTGTTTTTTGATACACGTGTGGTGTTTCAGTGGCTTCACTGCTAGCTTTGAATATAACACATTAAGCTGTACTTAAGTAAGCTATCCAAGGTCTGAATTCTTGGTTCTGTTTTACAAGCACCAAGACTTTAAAGTCCAGCCAAAGTTAATTTCTCAACTAGGCTTTTGTAGTATCCTTTTATTAAATGAGTATGTTCATATAGAATAATCTAGAGATCTTGTGGCACTTTTTTAGGAAGGGATTTTGTCCATCCCTATTTAATCCATGTACATACTGGTTTTTGATAGGAAGATGTCACAAAAGATACACAAATAGTCTTAACACCCAGCATGCTTTGAGCATTATAAAAATAATAAATAATTGCTAACATACTTATGTGGTGTGACATAGTAAGCATCCTCATGTATTGAAAGTTCTGTTATTGTTATGCAGTGTTGCTGATACTAAAACAGGAAGAGTTACTGTAGTGGATCCACTTTCTTATTTGAGGTTTTCTTTGCAGTAAGCCAAAAAGTCAAATATGGATAGAGGGCTGAGTTATTTTGGTTGAAACTATACTAACACAAACTTCTTTCAGAGACTGTTGAAATTGAAGTGGATATGCACAGTCAAAGTCTTTATGTCTGGTGTAGACGGAACAGGTGATGGGTATTTTTAACATGTATTCATCCACTGTGGAGAGGAAATACAACTCTTGCCCATTAAATCAGTTGAGATGATTCTGCTAGAACTCTAGGTAGCAACTTTACAAATACATTCACCAAAATGTTGTGTTTCGTGTGCGACATGGCTGCTTACTTCAGAAGCCCATGCTCATGTTTGTAGCCTGATCAATACTACTGAGTCTGTCTCTGTTCTTCTGAATTGTTGTATGCTGGCTCGAGCCTTGTCTTCAGGTTGATCAGCCTCCCAGGCCAATAACCTGATGGGCAGCCAGGTTGCCTGTCACTTGGTGAACACAGTTTCATTGTCCAATATCTTGACTCTAGAACTGGCTTTCTGATAAACTGTCAGAGTTCATGAAGTGCCACTACTGGGGAAAAAATTAACCTTTGCAAGTTTGGTGCAAGAGCATCCAGATAACTAAAATGATTGATTCCCTGATGCAAAGGAAGACCTATTTCTTTTTTCTGTGAGGAAGTTAATCAGAATCTATATAAAATGTAGGACAGGAAGAGACCTTGATAGGTCACCTAGTCCAGTTCCCTGTACTGCTTCAGGACTAAGTATTAGCTATATCAGCAGTTCCCAACCACCGGTCCGGGTACTGGTGGTGGGCCACCAACTTGCTGAGCCACACACTCTGCCAGGCCATGCCTCCAGCTGCTAATGAGCCCTTCCTGCTGGGGAACTCCATTCCCTATAAGTTGCATGCTTGCACACGTACTAAAAATTCTTCTCCCACCCTCCCACAGTGAGTGGCATTGCAGGCTGCTCTGTGTGCTGTGGCTGGAGCCTGCCCACCGTGAAGCTGTTCCTACTGTGGCAGTCTCATCATGGCCCTAGTTCCAGCTCCAGCAACAGCCATGTGGCCCAGTGTGCTGAGTGGCTGCCCCATGTCCTTTCTGTTGCAAACAGCATGTTTGGGACCAGGGAGCAGAGTTTTCATGGCCATGAGCGGCCTTTATTGATACCAAGGAGGATCAGGTTAGAGGCCCCAGAGATCCGGGCTGGCTGTCTGCAATTTCTGCCCCTCCTCCGGCAGGGTCTGGCTTCCCCCACGGGGTCTCCCCTGCTGGCTCTGGCCTACACCACATGTTTGGCCGCTTCCCATGTTTGGCAGCACTGGTCAGAGATGTGCAGGGGAAGCCTGACTCCTTGACTCAAACCAGCTGATGTCAGCAGGGCTAGTACCACTAGTACCACCCAGCTATCGGATGGGTGCTGTGAGCCCGAGACGTGCATGGACTGAGTGTCTCGGCGTCTCTAGGCCCTGACTGTTAATGGCCTGTGGAGGAACTCTTGAGCCACCTGAAACGTGGGGTCTTTTCCTGGACACAGAGAGTGCTTTGCAGCATGGCAGGAGGGCCACACAGAGCCCAGCACAGCAGCCTTAAAGCAGCTGCGACCCAGGTAGCAGCACTCAGCTGGTGGCTGGGAGGCAGCACAGGGTTAGGTGAGGGGGCGGAGCTAGCACTGTGGGCTCTGGGGGTGGGGCTAGTAGTCAGGAGATTATGGAGGCAGGGCTGACTCTGAAGGGCTTTGGGGACTGCAGGCTGGAACTGGGAGGAGATTCTGGAGGGCCTGGGTGCAGTGGGACTCTGGAAACAAGAGGCTAGCATTGGGTGTGTGGTTGAGGGGCTGGCACTGGGGGATCTGATGGCAGGAGGCTGGCACTTGGGGGGGTGGGTGCAGGGGACTCTGGGGTCAGTGGCTGGTGCTTGGGGGTAGTAGAGGCGTGGGAGGCTCTAGGGATTAGGGCTGGCACTGGGGGACTCTGGAGGCTGGGTTTTTGGTGGACAGGCAACCTTTTATTTGCATGTTTGTTATTTGCATAATTAATATGTAAATATGCAAATAAAATGTTGCCCATCCTCCAAAAGTTTGTGACTGGGTTTGCTGATCCCTGGTATCAAAAAGGTTGAGAACCACTGTTCTATATAATCCTGCAAATCAGTGGATATCTGTTGACTATGTTTATGGGTCACTGATTAGATGCAGATACAAATTTTGTATTCATGCAGCGTTCTTATCTAGATAGGGTAGCCAATTATTTTTTGTCAGGGTCCACATTTTTTTATCAAAATATACTCAAAGTCCAGACTCCAGAGACAATAATAAATAAATACATAAAAACATTCATTGCCTGGTCAACTCATTTGACAGCCCAGATTTGGCCTGGAGTCTGCCTGTTACCTACCCTGAACTAGACTGTCCCTGACAGGTGTTTGTCTAACCCAGTGGTCTCCAACCTTTTTACACCCAAGTTCACTTTTTAAATGTCAGGACAAGCCAAGATCTACCCCATTCCTTCCCCAAGACCCTACCCTTTCCTTGAGGCCCAGGACAGGGAGGCTGTGAGTATGATGGGCTCAGGACACAGATTTGCAGTGTGTGGATGGTACAGAAGTGTTGTGGCAGAAGACTGAGGATGTGGGGATGTGAGAGGCTCAGGACGGGGGATTCCAGTGTATGATAGGCTCAGGTTTGGGGTCTGGGTATGCAGGAGTGTTCTGATGCTGTGACCAGATGGGGGCTTGTTGGCCAGTCTTCATTTTTAAATAAAATATGTCAAACACAAAATGTTTCAGCGTTGTCTTTATTTATGAGAGGGGCAGGGAACCTGTTTTGAGTCAGGGGTCACTGACCCTCAGGAAAGTCAGTCGGGGCTACACAAGTGAGATGCAAAAAAAACTTCTCCAAAACCCCCTAAGCCTCACTAATGTGGCCCCAACTGAGACACCTCACTCCTCTGGCACTCCCCAGGCCATATTAACTCTTCTGGGTTCCAGGGTTAGTGGAATTTGTGGGCCCCTCTACAATCTGAGGTGGGGCCAAAAATGAGGGATCCAGTGTGCGGGACAGGACTGCCAGTGTGTGGGATAGGGATGGGGGTGCAGAATTTGGGTGGAAAATAGGTTACAGGAGCAAGCTGGGGGTAGGTGTCTGGCCAGGAGGGAGGGGTCAGGAGCAGGGTGCTGGTGGGGGTCTGGTCAGGGGGCAGGGGCAAGGTGCTGGTGGGGGTTTGGGCAGGGGGTAGGTTGCTGGGGGAGGTTTGGGCAGGGTACAGGGGAGTCTGGTTAGGGGGCAGGGTGCTGGTGGGGGTTTGGTCAGGGGGCAGGTGCAGGCT